TTATAAAGGTATATCACTCCTCTTTAAAGACTTAACCCCTAAATTATTTCTTCAATTTATTTTTCAATTAGATGCTGACACTGTCATGATATGTAATTATCTTTAAAGATTAAATTTTAAATTATAATTATAATTAAATTAATATAATGTAAAAATCATAAAAATTAGGTATGTACTTATATTATTAATTATCAGATTAATCTTTCCATCAAATGTTTAATGGCACTAAACTATAGTTAAATGCATAAAGATGGTTTGATAGGTGTTATTTAAATAGTTAATTAATATGAATAATAAAATTAGAAGATGAATGGTCAAATTAAAATCTTAGGATAAATTATATGAATAGCCACTAAATTATATGGTTGATTATATTTTGATCACCAAACTAATTTTTTTTCAATTAGACTGGTAAACTATTAATATGTTATCAAGTAAGCTAGCAATTAACACAAATCCAATTCCGTGTACAAAAAGAAGCAGAAAAAATGAATTTGTAGAGAAGAACATGGAACGATGGAGCTTTCACGATTAAGAAGACGTGATTGGAAACACTCAATTTTTCAAAAAGCCCATTGGTGGAATCAAAAGCCCATGAAATCATCTTCTTTAAACGTGTCTGATTCTCCCTGTTACAACAAAAACCATGACTCGGAAACAAACCAAGCTCGATCAAGAAAATTTTGTGATAAGGGAAATAATAATGCCAAAAGGGAAAACGACTCTTCCTTTGTCCCCTTCCATTTCTCTCGATAGCCGGCTTTTCTTTGATTAAGTCAATCCCAATTCCTCTCTTGATCCTTTTATTTCCTTCTCAAATCTCAATTTGTGATTAAGAATCTCTAAGTTTCTTTTTGTGCGTGTTTTTCCGAGAAATTTAATCATTTTGGATGCTAATTATATCACATGGTATTGAGGTGGGAATAATAAGTTGTTTTCCATTCGATTTTTTACGAGGTGGGTTTGATTTTGATCTGGATTTGGTGTTTTGGTTGGAGGAAAATTGATAAGAGTTTTCAAATTGGGGATTCTGCTTGTTTTTGGATCTAAAGTTCCGGGTTTGATTTGAAATGGTCTATTTCTATAGCTCAATCTCAGTCTGCAACTCGGTTGACCAGGCTTCTTCAGCTACAATCTTGGCAAATTCCGTGAATTCACATGATATTGTGAGACCTCCAAATCATCGTCGTCTTCACCGAGGAACAATTTTTGCAAGAAACACAAGGTATCCAATTCACCAAGCTGTTTAAAAATTCCATCTTGTGAAAGATCAAGATCCCTGCCATTGATGTTGTCATCTTAATTGCTGTGATTGCTGCTTGTGGATTCTTGTTGTTTCCAAGTATAAAGTGGATATCGTTGAAATTGATTGAATTCATTGGAACTTCCTTTTATGTGATTGGAGAGGAAATGATGAGAGCTCCAATGATATGGATCTATTTTACTTGGTTTTTCTTGTGCTTCTATAGCTGCTTGGATTTTGCTTTTATGTACACTAGGAAATGCAGGAACCCTAATTGTAAAGGGCTTAGGAAGGCAGCCAAATTCGATATTCAGTTGGAAACAGAGGAATGTGTCAAGAATTCGAGCACTCTGGTTAAAGATGGTGTTAAGAGGGGACTTTCGAATTGGCCCGGGACCATCATAAGGAACTGGAAGCCGAACTGAAGAAGATGGCACCGGTTAACGGACGAGCAGTGCTCGTTTCGAGCTAGGTGTGGATGTTCTGTAGGCAGATTGGAGGTTCCAGGTCGAAGAAGAGAAAGATCAGAAATAGGATTTCGGAATAAAAGTACCATAGATAGAGTAATCAAAGCAATACAGAAAGTAGTCATAATGCAGTAAGGTATGCCTTCTCTGGTTAGTTTCATCAGAAACTATGTTGTCTTTAAATAAGCTCTCATGGCAGGTTGTAAGAGGATTATATGCAGTTGACTATAGTGGAGAATAAGAATATTTACTTTTCATTTATTTAATCACTATTTTAATGGTAATTTAGCCTTTGAAACTTATGTTTTAGGTTCTTAGTGGTGCAATTTGTTTTATGCTGTTATAGTTTCTAGAATTTCATTTTAATTGATTATCGTGTGTTTGTTGAAAGTTTGAAAGCCGGTAGATTATTATGCGATATGTTGAACTGTCTGATTAGTGGTGGTGATAAAATATGAGTTCAAGAAGATATTCTTGAGATGCCATTGCTTAAAGTAAATATTTTCTTTCGATACAAACGATGCTTTATGTTTTGCTGATGCAGATGATAGAAACACGACTCTTCATCTATTCCTTTATATCACCAATCCTTGAATGATTGGTAGTTTCGGGTATCTGTTGATGTATCTGAACTCTTTCCTTGATTTAGATGTTATCTTTTGTTTATCCTTGCTAAAACTTCGTGCTATGTTTTGATTGACATTGAAGATATTATTTGTCATCAGCAATGTAGTTTTTGTCGCATATTCCGAACTCCTTTAATCAGATACATCCATCTCATAGAAACCATAACTTTCTGCATTTTGAGCTTCATAGTAGTACCTCACAAATTACAAGAGCTTGATTTAGTGTTTGATAGAGTTAAAAGCTAATAAGGTTCCGAACCAGATATTTCGAGAAGGTTAGTATCTCTTGTGATAGCACATCTAATATTATTCGCAAATCTTAGTTTTCAATTGTTATGCAAGTCTGGAGAAATATAGTTGTATGAATAGATTCATTCTAATGCAGCAATTTCAACTTCATATCATGGCTCTTCTCTTATTCTTGCATCCAAATCCGTCTTCGTTCTTTCTCATAAGTTTATCACTTATTTATTCTACTCGACTCGAGTGTGACAGATATGCGTTCGTTGGAATTATCACTCTGTTTGCATGTCTAGCTGTTTCTTATTGGTGTAAGCTGTGAATCCGAAACCGAAATTCAGTAGCATTGTTGTTCATCTTTTGTCCAATTTTGTTCTAGTATCGGACCATACACGGATTTTGATTTATGTATTGGTTCATGTTGTATCGTTTCTTTATCTGGGAAAGAGCTATGAAACAGTTTTGTCATGTAGATAACTGGCACTGCTAATTTAGTTGTTGGTATGATGATTTCAAGATCCTCTAGGATTTCATTTAGCCAACGTATAGCTTATTGCAATATCTGCTGAATTAATGTGAAAATTGGCTTTATTATATGACCGGAGTTGAGCTAAAGAGCTGGCATTAGCTATGTCCAGATTTAACATGACGATTAGTTTAACATTATTTTTTTTAAAATTACAATAGAGAAAATAGATTTTAAAAGATGTTTTTGTTTTTGGATTATTTAGTTTGAGATTTAAAATTTTAATATTTTTAAACATGTTCCGAAAAGATAAATATATTTTAGATATGAAATTATAAATTAAGTTTATGTTGATAAATGATATTTAAATTCTTTAATATTATAGTCTATAAAATAAGTTATAAACGGTAAATATTATGAATAGTATTAACATTATAGGTTGTGCCGAAATGTTATCGAAGTTTAAGTTGATGAAATCTTTTAATTTTCTACGATAATAAAATAAGTTAAAAACTGAAAATGTTAGGAACATAATATAAATACGGTTGTACCTAATGTTATGGTTCACTAAGAAAGGAGGTTGTAATCTAAAATCCTAATATTTATAATAATAAAATAGGTTACGCCTAAAATATTATCAGAGTTTATGCCGATGGAATCTTGAGTTAACCCACAATAAGAAAATAAGTTAAAACAATAAATGTTATGAATGTATATAAAAATAAAGGTTCCGCCCAAAAATGTCATGATTCACTAAGAAATAGGTTGTGATATGTATTGTTAATATTTTTATTAATAAAATAGGTTGTGTCCAAGAATGTCATAGTTCACTAAGAAAGTATGTTGCAATCTGAAATCTTAATATTTTTAATAATAAAATGTTATCATAGTTTAAGCTGACGGAGTCTTTGATTTTTTCACGGTAAGAAAATAAATTAAAAGCTGAAAATATTATGAATATGTAATAAATTGGTTGCACCCAATAATGTCATGGTTCACAAAGAAATATGTTGCGATCTTAAATGTTAATATTTTTAAAAAAATAGGTTGCGCCCAAGAATGTCATACTTCAAGAATGCATGTTACAATCTGGAATCTTACTATTTTTAATAATAAAATGGATGCGACCAAGCGGAGCTAGAAATTTCATAATACGGTGTCAGAATTTTAGATTATGGTATCTAAACAAAGTCATATAAATTAATGCATGACATTGAATTCGATAAATTAATGTAAATATAGCTAAAGTAACATAAGATTATTACAAAGCTATTAAAACATTAATAAAAAATATATTATACTAGGGTGTTCATTTTCTGGTTTTAAGCGAATTTATCATCGAATTGAATTAATTCGGTTAAACGACCTGCCACTAAAATAGTTCAGTCGGGGAAAATTAATTTTTTTTCAATATTGCACCCAATAATGTCATGGTTCACAAAGAAATATGTTGCGATCTTAAATGTTAATATTTTTTAATAAAATAGATTGCTCCCAAGAATGTCATACTTCAAGAATGCATGTTACAATATGGAATCTTACTATTTTTAATAATAAAATGGGATGCGACCAGGAGCGGAGCTAGAAATTTCATAATACGGTGTCAGAATTTTAGATTATGGTATCTAAACAAAGTCATATAAATTAATGCATGACATTTGAATTCGATAAATTAATGTAAAATATAGCTAAAGTAACATAAGATTATTACAAAGCTATTAAAATAACATAAAATAAAAAAAATAAGAAGGGCAATTCTGTCATTTTATATTACTGAAATCAAATTCATCTAATATGTCTGCGAACCAAACAGAATATGAAATTGAATTTTAATTCCCGACAGATTTCAATTCTTTCACATATTCCAATTACTTCATAAACATTCCAACGAACCAAACGCCAGTTACACGAAACCCAATTCACCCGAACCGGAAGGAATCCGGTTCACTTCTCTCTTCCTCAAAACAAAAGAATCTAAAAGGAAACCTGATTTTTGTGAAATACAGAGAGGAAGAGAGGAGACTTTAACGTCCAATTTTACTTATTCGTGTGTTTTTCTTTGAAACTTACTCACACAATAATAGAAAAAGGAATACTCAAACTCGGCCGAACTCCGGAGACTGTCCACAATCCGATGGACTCTTTGGGACCGAATCAGTTTGATATCTTCCAGATTTACCGGCGATTTTGTGGTAATTTTTTTCACTTCTTTTTAAATTGGTATGGAACTTTTCTCCTCTATGATTTCCATTTTTTTTTATAAAAGATATTTGTTTCGGTTGATTTATAATAGGAAAAATTGGCACTTTTACAATTTAATTTTTGTGTGAAATAATTGGAAATTGGGTAAGGGGTTTTGGGGGTTATTTTTATTGTCTAATAATTGGGGGATAATTGACTTTTATTTAGTTCAATTTTTGGGAATTTTGAAGTTAATTATGAAAAATTTTAATTTTATTAAGTACCCGAAAATTTTAGGTAATTAATGTAATTTGATTTGGTCAAAGAATTAGTTTAAAATGTTTAAGATTTTGGCCTGCTACTGATATGCTTAAAGCTTGAAAATTTGAACTCGAACTGTTCAGAAATGTTTGTGCTGTGTTTGGGATGTTACCTTTTTTATTTAAAAAAATATTGTTTCTTTTATTAGTTAACTTTTAAACTGTCTTGCAGAACTTAGAACAGGAGATGCATATGTTCGTGGGGAAGAAGGGTACCGACAAAATGAGGAATCGGAAAGAGCTAAGTATTCGAGGGATGGAATGAATCAACTCTTAAAGATGGTGGAGTCAAGGATGCATACAAGGTAGTCGGTGGTGTTCATATCTATAATCTGTAGTTATAAGTTTATGGTATTCGGCCTTAGGAAGATTAGAGAAGTGGTTGACGAGTCTTAAGACACTTGGCAAATTGATGGAATCAAAGAATCAGTTCAGTTTGATACTTACAGGATGCCATGTGAACTTATATTATCCTTGATGGTTCTTGTCTAAGATGCCACACGTTTTTGTATCTGCAAATCCGGTCTTAAATTTTGAAAATTCCAGCTTCATCCTGATTTGCTTTAGTGGCAACTGCCCTACATGTGTGTAAATTGCCACTGTGTCATTTATGATTATGCATCGAGTGAAAAAGAAACATATTATGCCCCAGGACATTATCAAAGTGAGGTGAATATCCAAACAAGATTCTGTAGCCAGTCCTGTTTATTAATTATTTGCTCTAATAGTTGGTAATATACTAGTGATTGAGTATCGGTTATGTTTGCTTTGACAGGACTGCGATCTTTGATGAACTTCACAAGCTCATGTTACAACTAGATCTGACGGTGGGATTCCTCTTCGTTGAAGTTCTTTGAAGGACAGATTTAACTAGTATTTTAGACTTTAGTATCGAGTATCTTTAAAGTTCTTCGTTGTTGTTACACTAATTTTATTTTCTAGTATTGTGTTTTCCATACTAAAATTTGGCCTGCTGTTGTTTCCTGTAGGTGGACTTTTCTGAATTCTCGTGCTTCTATGATTTTGTTTTCTTCATGTCCCGAGAAAATGGTCAAAAGAATATTAGTAAGTTGTCTTATGCTAATTAGTTAAATAGAAATAATTTTACTGATTTTTCCTTGGAATAACATCGAGGTTATCTAAGCTGTAAATTACAAACAATTTCTTTTGTATACTATTTAATTCTTTCACTTTTGTCATGGTTGATAGCTGTAAGCAGGGCGGTTGCTGCATGGAGATTAGTCTTAGCTGGCAGGTTTCGATTGCTTAACAAATGGTGTACCTTTGTTGAGGTATGAGCATGACTGATACCAAGCTGCTTACAGCCTAACACATTATGTTTGTCTTGGAGACATGTTATGAAACTATTGATTGTCATTCCAATGTAGACCACTTCAATTTTGGACGAATACTTCATTAGAATTGTGATATTGGTTTTAAATAATTTATTCATTACCGTAATGGGTAGAAGATGTTTTCCTGCATATGCATATAAGGAGTGACATCTCCTGCTTCAGTTGTCTGTTAGTGAGGGAATAGAGTTCATAAATGTTACTTTAGTTGCCTTATACATACCTTTGAAAATCCTTATAGTGCATTCCAAGCATTTGGAAATGGATGATAAGTCTCATGGTGGCACATATGTTCTATTTTTGCAGAATTAGTTCAAGCTGAAGTCTATGTTGCTTTTACTACCGCCAATCTCTTGATTATGGATACTTTTGTCTTTGATATCCTTTCAGGAAAATCAGCGTCACAATATTTCAGAGGATACGTGGCAGCAAGTTTTAGCTTTTAGTAGGTGTGTACATGAAAATCTTGAAGGTTATGATCCTGAAGGTATCAAGCTTCCCTAAATCTCTCCTATCGCATGTCATGTCTATCCTTGCCACTTGGATCTTAGTTATCTGTATGTTTTCCAGGTGCTTGGCCTGTTCTGATTGATGACTTTGTGGAGCATATGTATAGGTTTGGTTTCAATACTTCAGCACTTCATTTGATTGTGGAAATTTTTATGATTGTTTTTCCTAAATGGTTTGTTTTAGGCTACAATTCCGAGTTCTTAATATGATTGTTTTAATCTATGTTATTCCGACTCTTTACTTTCCCTGAATTATCAGTGTCCAAACCTAGTCTTTTTAAGTTTTAATCTTTTCATTTTTTGTATTTTTGAGAGTCTCTTATAAAATCACTTCAATTTCATGTTTGCATTGACTAATAATCATGCCTCGTGTCACTTGATCATCCATGGTACCGATCTTCCAGAATGTTTTAATAGAAGTAATGCTATTGCATGCACACTATACCTAGATGCCTGAAGCCCCTTATCCTTGCTTGCTCCCCCACTGCAGAATTTCGGGATCCAAAAAAGATTCAAACGTTTTCTGTTGCTGTGTTGATCTGGAGTCGCAGTCGTGTGCATATGAAGACACTTTGCCCGGTATGTCATATATTAGCTTTCACATATACCTTTATGTAAGTTTCGTGCTTATATGGACTGCAATAGACTATTTATGTTATATTATAATGATATCACGTTGCAGGATTAAGAGTATATCCTGGAATGAAGAGGAAATTGCCTGAATGTCATGAAGACGAAATGGAGTCCTTGGATTCACACTTCTTGAACTCGCCGGACCTGAATTCTAAGAGAAGTAGGTTGATTGCACTCAGATCGGTTAATAAGGAAGGTATTCCTCCCCAGAATCCATCTGATGACCGCATGGAAATTGTCAAACACAGTAACCCAATGTGTTCTTCGAAGTCCCCTTGTGCGATTGAAGGTTGCCTGTCAAAGGGTTTCGCAGGGCTCTTATCAAGTTGCTCGTATTTCGCAGTTTGATCGGGAAAGAATTCACCATTACATTGAGTTTGCATCCGAGTTATAATTATAGAAAAAATGTATCCTTTGTAAGCCTATGATTAAGATTGTATTAAAATCTTTTCCACTTGTGTGTTTCCGACGATTTTGTGGGTTATTTCCAGATCTGTTGCTTTCTAAAAGAACTATATTATATTTTCTCTCTCTCTATCTCTCCAGGTTTTTTAGTTTTCACTTCATAGTTTGATCAAATACTCCCAAAAATCCGAATGTAACATTCTTATGCAAAGAAATTTGAACTTACAAAATCATTTGAAATTTACATCTAAGACACTAAATCGATATCCACGATGTTAAATATCAAGCAGCCATGCAACCAACGCCAAATCTAGTTTTAGGACACAAGAAACAAGCCACTGCAAATAATCCCCACCATCAACGGGAAACCCTCCATAACTTGATCCATCTCCTTCTCTTGTCCCGGAAAAACACAGTTGGTAACTCTATGGTCCGAGAAAGCGATCGCCATGAACACCGACATGATGGCATGAACTAAATCCGTAAGTCCAGCCTTGTACTTGTCATGTTTCGGGGATTCGACTTCGAGGCCAGGTTTGAAAAGGGCCATTCCCTTGGGTGTCACGAAACCGTAGTAAACTGTCCCATTGGGACCTCGAAAACTGTCAGTGAAGTGGAAGAAGAAGCAAGAGAGAGCGCAGTGGCCTAGGAGGGAGTTAATCATGATGGTGGTAACGTGGGTGCAAACACCATGGCGGTAAACAGAAGGCAGAACCAATTCGAAAGTTAAAAGAGTGCCTGTGGCTATGGGTAGGAAGTTGACAAGCATGGAAGTTTTGGATATGGTTTTTTGAACTCCTTTGGCCACGACTTTACGCTTCCGACCGGGATCCGGTGGCAGTCGAGGGAGGGAGGAGATCGGTGTAGGGTTCTCCCGCGGTGCTGTTGCAGTGTAAACTTTGATGCCAATTCCATGGTCAGTTTTCTCCATTTTGTTTTGGTGATGAATGGCTGGGGTAGTTTTATTGTACGACAGCCTAATATAAGATTAATAAAATGCGCTATCATAAATGTTAATATTTTTTAATATTTTCGGTAGAGTACTACTTAAAATGTTATTTTTTTATCAGAAATGTTAATTTTGTTACCTAAAATGAATATTTCTAATATTAACATTTGTGATAAAAAAAATAACATTTTAAGTAACGTTCAATATTAATATTTCTGGTAAAAAAAATAACATTTTAAACATCATTGAATGACTGTCTGATTGTAAAGAAGTAGAAGTTTCGAGGTGATTGTTTGATCTTTGAAGGGTAAGGAATTTCAAATTAGAAGGTAGTTACTGGCAGTTAATGAATAGATATCAACGGTAAATATGAGTGCAGCAGCAAATATTGGCGGTAGAAGACTAATGTGAATTAGATTGATGACTCAGTTGTCCAATTTCACATTTTTTCAAGTGACATGATGAAGTTATGAGTTTATTTTTAATATATCATTTTAAAAAAATTGAAATAATTTATATCCGACAATCCTATAAAAAAATTACAAAAAATAAATTCAAAGCTTCTACCTCAAACTATGATTGGAAGTTTCAAAATTAAGAATTTATAGTGTCACGTAGATAATGTTATTTAACACGTTCAAAAAATTTTATAATTTGATTCTATTCCCTAAAAGGTTTTCTAACTTCACCGCCGAATATGACATGGTCATGTTGATTTATTGATGCTTTTAAATGGGTCAAATTCTATTATTAGTCTTTATCGTGCGTACATTATAAATTTAACTCTAGTGGTCGTTTGGAAATACTTACGGAATTGTTAAAACGTAAAAATATTCTCAAACAATTTATTTTTAATAAAAAATTCACGTTTGAAACGTGATTATTAACTCAAACCAAGAAACTGAAAGATAATACTTTTATGTCGGGAAAACTTATTTGAAAAAATATTCTCAAATGAAGCACGGACGTGGATATCGTCTAATAATTGAAATGAGTGTGTACTCTTAAATTCTTATAGGGTTGAGAATCGGATGAATTACACGAATAATCAGTTGTAATCGTTTTCAATTTTTTTAATTATTTATTAATTAATAGGTCTCGTTATATAGCAGGGTAAATTACAAATTTCATCACTAAGCTTTACTTTCTCTTCTCTTTTATTCATTGAGCTTTAAAAGTTTTCAATTTCCTCACTAAACTTATTATATTAGATTTTTTTGCCACCCATCATTAAATAGTTAACGGCGTTACAACGACGTTGTTTCGAAAAAAATAATTTTTTTACTGAAACAACGTTGTTTTGTATTTATTTAAAAACTCATTTATAATGCCGTTAGTAAGGAAACTACTTAGTAACCAAAAAAAATACTTAATGTATTAAGTTAGGTGAAAAAATTGAAAATATTTAAGTACAACGAGTGAAATAGAAGAGAGTAAATTTCAGTTACCAAATTTATAATTTACCCTTTTATAGCTTATAATTATACTTCTTCAATCAAATATAGAGAGAATTATAATTTCTTTCAACTACAAGACGTAGTGAGTATTGTCCTAATTATTATTTTCTTATGATTATTCTGTGTGTATAAATGAGTGTATTAGGACAATCATTTTATAATTATATTTAAATAACTATTATAATTAATAAATCTCACTAAATAAAGAATAACTTTAAAATTGTTTTTATCTAATTTTGATCAGTCATAACTACTTTCAAACTTGTTTTTATCTAATTTTGATCATAAAAATTTCAGTAAATTATAGTAATTATAAAAAGCATAATTATTAATATTTTAATAATTACATTTCCTTATAAAACAGAAAATTAAGTCCCCATTCCCTGCATTATGCTAAAGATCCTACTGAAGTGAGCATCTACTAAAGGAACATTGAAACACTCAACAGCTTTCACAATCATCTGGATTTCTCCTAAATTACTACTCTACAATGCATTATGTTAATAAGCATATACAGAAAACCACCGGTAATCAGAAGTTGCTTACTATTTCCAAAACAGATGAGTAAGTGCCAAATATGACCACTGCAACACTCATCAAAATGATTAGGCTTACGGCAGCCAGTTCCGCGCTGAATCTCCGGTGAGTTCCCGATATCTTCAAGTAGTAGACGCACGGTAGTAAAACCGAAGCCGTGATACTTAAAAACGCTCCAACTAAAGACATCAGGGAACCGAAAAACGGAACAGCAAGAGCCACCACGACAGTGCTGATCACCAGAGTGGTGCCAACAAAGAGGTGTAGCACTCGCTTCCCGCATCGATATCGAATCACGCTCTTAACGGCATTCACGATGGGCGTAACCATCAATGCATATTTGGATATGGGGTTGACAAGAGTAGTATATATTGCAATTCTTGAGCTGAGTTTATCAGTAGGGAGGTTGAGAGTTATCTGTGATTGAACATCTGATCCGAACATTAAGTACCCGGAAATCGCCATCGACGAGTAACATATGGTACACAACACAAAACATACAACCAACACCTAAGACAAGCCATACAAATTTCCTTCAAAACAATATCCAAAACCAGACTATTGCAGAAAACAATATGAATTTTGACAGATACTTACATTGGAGAATTGATGCCTCTTCCTCATTGAAGTGTAAAGCGTAGGGAAAACTGGATGAGAGCAATAACAAAAGGCATATAAACTAACGGCAGTGGGGATCCCACCATAGTTTATGAGCTTCCCCTTTTGTTTAAACCCAACACCATCAAATGCACCGGTCCAGATGATGGAAACCAAGATGACTGCAGAAGCCAAAACCCCACTGGCTGACACATAAGAAAGAAGGCTCAAATTATCCAACCAAACAGTAGGCAAAATTATGAGAGCTACGAGTATAATAAACCCTTGTTTAGCACCAATCGTTAATCCCCCGACTTCAAACTCCCCAATGGGTAACAGATTATGCAAGTTATCTCCTTCGAGAATCAAAAAACCAGTGGCCACCAAGTAGAGCTCGATGTTCATAACAACCGAAGCTAATAATCGCCCTTTATCCCCGAATGCGCGCTCGCCTATATCGGGATAAGTTCTGATTCTCGGATCTGTATCCATACATCTCTGAATCAACAAGCCCGAGTAAAATGCAGCAGTGGCAATGGCGAACAGAAATATCAAGCTCAACCATCCCCCTGATGCCAATGCATATGGGATTGATAATATCCCTACCCCTGTAAAAAAAAAATTGGTTTTTTTTCATATAAATGTAAAATCCAAATGAATATTTCGAAAGAAATAAACAAAACCAAAGAGTGCCATTGAAAGAAGGTGAAGAAAAGTGAACCCGAAAGAGCGTTGAGGCCATTGAAACAGGTCCTGAAAACAGAGACGGGGGTTGGACTGCTGTGAGGATTTAATTCGTTTACTTGTTTATTGTTGTCATCCTCAAGGAGAGGCAGAGTGAAGGATAATTCCCCGTGTGACATCGTCTTTCTTAATCGATAGAAACGAAGAAAACCTCGGATAATGCTTGAATGTTGTAGAACAAAAGAGTGGCTGATTGTCGAAGAAAATCTCAATTCACCTTTTTAAAATTTAACCTAAAATTTTATGCACGCATGATACATGATGAAAAATAAAAATAAATATTATTGATTTGGACAGAAATGACACCACGTGGTAAGGCTCCCAGTTTTGCTTAAACACTTCCTCTGTTAATTTCCCTTCTTTTGTAGTCTGCGCGGCTATTTTAAAACACGACAAAAGTTGCCTCAAACTTGACAATTATTTTAAACTTCTCATCGAGCTGACAACTTTGAACCCCATAAATATATATAAAAAAAATCGTCACTAAATATTTAACTCTATAAATAAAAATGTGATTTTCAAAAAAAAAAAAAAAAAGCACTCTAGGGACTTTTATTTATCCCGTTTAGATTATATTTCTCGATTTACATTTTTTTTATAAACAGGTACATCCTCTACAGCGCGCTTTACGTTGATCTGACGTCACGTATACCTTATGTTTAGTTGGATACACATGACTAAAGCGCGGCTCACCGCGCCTTACGCCACGTAGGTTATAGCGCGGAACAGGAGTCGCGCCTTTCAATTATCACACATGCATAATGCAAGGCGCGGTGCAAGGACCGCGCCTTGCATAATTTACCCGCACTTCGCAGCTTTTAAGCATTGTCTCTCCGCTATAAATAGCCCCCTCCTCGTAAACTCTCTCACAACTCCCTCTCAACTGATAAATTAATACAACAATTCTTTCAACCATTAAATAACGCCCGACAATCCTCTTATATTTGATTCAGAAGTTCGTTCGATCTTTCGTTATAAGGTAATTTTATTGTAATATTTTTTATAATTATATATAATTATTTGAAAAAATATTATACTAATTGTTTTTAATTAATTTATGTGTTTGTAAAATTAGAAAGCAGGAGCATACGTCGAAATATTTTTGCGATACAGGTAATAATATAAAATTATATTATTTAAATTATTTACGTTTATGTGTAAAAATTTTATTGTGTTATATTTTCGTTCATATATTATTTATTTAATTATGTTTGTTTCAGTTGTTTTTTTACAGATATAATATTGTCGCACTTTTAAACTCTAAGAATGACACGACTTTCAACTATTGTTTATTATGATGGAGAAATTCGAGAAGATGAAATCGGCGTTGTTTTTGTATTAAATTAGCGTGTTAAAATATCATTCAAGAGAAACATAACTCTTGAGGAGCTGATAACGAAGATTTCGAGGAAGGTTCATGTTGGAAGTAGTAGAAGAATGTTGTTGCAGTACAAATTTCCAACATCATTGTTGCCATTAACTTATATAGCGTTCCAACTATCAAACAATGATGATGTTGAAATGATGGTTGATTCTCAAAGTAATTATTCTGACGGATATATTCAGATGTATACAAAGTTTGTTCAAGTGCGTGCTAGTTAGGGTCAGTCATTAAGCTCCCACTATGGGCTGGCTGAACAAGTTGATCAAGTTGACAGCCCGACTACAGTAATGTGTAATGATTTTAATGCCATAATGGGAAATCCGCATCATGGTGCCGTCACATCAACTTCAATGGGGAGACATTCATCAGCAACTTCTTACGATATGTACCGAGGTAGGTCCACGAACAATCCATATGGCAACATCGCGTCCAGTTCAAGGGGAAGGCATTCATCTGTAAATTTCTTTGACCTTAATATGGAGATGCCATCGACGCAACAATCTGTGAAGTTTCCATTTGGCACGATGGCTTCAAGCTCCACGGGGAGGCATTCGACTGCGAGCTTTTTCGATCTCAATGTCGAGGGGAACACATGCAAGTAGTAGGTTCTTCGACCTAAATGTGGGGAGCATGGAGGAACCATCATCTCCACCAGAAGAACCGCTTCGTGAGCCTGGTGCTGATGGTGCTGAGACTGGACTATTCATTCAGCCAGAATCACCGCAATTAAACTCCGATGATGATTCCCTCAAATGTGGCACAAACTGACCCTCCAGCACACATGTATGAAGCTGATTATGGTGCAATATACGGGCCAGAATTTGAGGATATGCCTCATCTCGGTGACTATGGATATTACTCATCAATAAATAATGGTGATTTATCTTTAGGCATGGAGTTTTCAAGAAAAGAAGAAGTGATGATGGCTATAAAAAATTACAATATCTGTAATTATGTTCAATTTAGAGTCGACCGCTCCACGATAGAAAAATATGTATGTCACTGTGCCCGACGCGAAAACGGATGCAATTGGATGGTTCGCGTATCGAAGAGGAAGAGGAAAAACAATAGATGTGAACTAACAGTATACAACGGTCCTCACACATGTTGTACTGGATGGATCAACCAAGATCATCCCAACTTGGACTCTGAAGTGATCTGCCAAGCCATCATGCTCGTGGTAAAGCAAGCTCTCATATAGCTATTGTTGTGTTGATTTCAGCTACACAATTACAGTATGTGTATACTGTCTCCTACAAAAAAGTTTGGTTGGAAAAACAAAATGTCATTCTCGGATGCATCTTACAACGAACTTCCATGTTGGTTTAGGTTGGTACGGAGGTTGAATCATGTGACAATTTTGGACTTCGAAACCTCTTATCCATACCATAATGATCGAGTTCTTTGCGATCGATGCTAATTCTATCGGGTTTTTTGGACTTACCCACAGTGCGTTAATGCTGTCAAATACTGCAAGCATGTAGTCTAGATCGACGAGACTTTCTTGTATGGTAAATACAAGCAAGTTTTATTATTGGCAGTTGTACAAGATGGTAATCGCAACATTCTTCCAGTTGCTTTTACTCTTGTTGAAGGATAAGATGCAGATTCTTGGGCTTTTTTCCTCCGAAACTTACGTGCACATGTTATCAAGAGGGAAAAAATCTGTGTCATTTCAGATCGCGGAGTTGGGATCAAAGCAACAATGGAGTCTTTGGGTCCAATGTGGCAACCACCCTTTTTCCAACATAGGCATTGTATCCGACACATTGCTGCAAACTACCATAGAAGGTACAAGAAGAATGATGAACGTCAATTACTTGTGCGCATGGGTAAGTGAAACTGATATAGTTTGTTTTTTTTTTCGATCATTTTAATTTTGCAAATAAACAAAGTTAGTAAGTTCTACATTTTTTTATCATGTTACGAACTACTTCCTCAAACATTTGAATCCATACTTCAAGAATTACGGGCGAATAACGAGGAATGATACAATTACATCAGCCTCATCGATAAAGAAATGTGGATAAACGCATATGATGGTGGATATCGATATGGACACATGATGACCAACTTGGCCGAGGCAATCAATTCGACCTTAAAGGGTGCACGTCACTTACTTGTAGCGGCTTTGGTAAAAACTATATATTTTCGTTTGGCGACGCTTTTTGCGAAGCTCGGGGGATAAGCTCAAACCTGGATGCAAGGCGGTCATGTCTATCACCCTAGATTAGTTGCAGATCTACAAAAAAAATTGATGCATCAAATGGAATGTCTGTAACAAGCTTCTCTAGAACACATGCAATGTTTCGTGTCATAGAGTTGCCGCGACCTCTTCAAGGGGTTGAAGCTGTGTCGTTAAGAGTAAATCTACGGGATAGAAGGTGTGACTGCGGGTTTTTTCAAGCTTTGAAGTATTCATGCTCTCATGTGATAGCAACTTGCTCGCATACCCGTCAAGACTATAACCGTTTTGTGGATCCCGTATACCTACTATCAAAAGTTTTTAAGGTATACGAATTTGAGTTCCCCCATAGGTAATGACAAAGACCCTGATGAGGTTCAAAATTGAGTTTCGATTATACCAAATCCGAGTTTATTGAGGGAGTGTGGTCGTCCAAAATGCACTCAAATTCATTGTGATATGGATATTCAAGAAACAAATAGACACGACAAAAAGTGTGGGCATTGTAGAAACTCAGACACACTAGGAGAACATGTCCACTTCTGTTGTCATCAAGTAACAATTGATGAGGAACTAATGTAGTTGTTTATCAAATAATAATTCTTGTACTTTAATTTGCATTTACTTAAAGTTAATGTCATTCGATAACTGTTGATGAAGATTAAAAAATTATACAAGAAAACGATATTGGACGTTGACGTTATATGTGATTATAATAAAATAGATAATAAGTGACAAACTTAAGAAAGTTATCGAACAAAATTATTTAACTTTATCAAACTAATAATAATTTGGTATTTGAATATAATTCTAAATACAACAAACTTAAAATAAGTATTAAATGGTAAATAATAATCAAATTACAGTAACTGATATTAAATGGTAATAAACTAAATTATCAAAATAAATTAACAAAAAGTCCACCAAAATAAACAAAATAAATTTTAAAATTATCCAACCAAATTAACAAAATAAAGTAAGTATTTAATGATAAATAATAAAAAAAATTACAATACAAAAAGTCCAATAACCAACTAAATATAAATATAAAAAAATCTATCGATGTCTGCGGTGCGAATGTGTTTCGTATGGCGGTGGTTGTCGGTCTCGAGGAGGATTTCTTCGTATAACTGGTTGTGAGTCCTCGCTGTCATCATCGTCGTCGTCGTCATGAGCAGATACATTTTGTTGATGAGGAGCTGATTACGATGTAGCAACTCCATAGAATAAGGACCCTAGAGGTGTATGACCGACTATCCCACCGCTCATAGATAAATGCGAAAACTCATAAAACCCAGACATCGCGCTGTGTGAAAACTGTACATGAGGTGTCTGCGCGACGACCATGAGTGATGAGGCTGCACCCGCCAAATAATCAAGCATATGAACCCCAAGTCGAATATGCAAACATATACCCATAATATCCTCCAGGAGGGGTCATATAACTCTGTGATGGTGGCGATGGTGGGGTCATAAAACCAGGTGACGGTGGTGGCGGCGGCATCGGGTAAGGGAATGGTGGTGGCGGCATCATATATGGTTGTAATATGTAAGTCGATGCAGACGGTGACTGCTATGACGGTCATGTTGGTGCAGCTGAGGATGAACCGGAAG